TCATCAGGCACCAAGCCCCTCCCACCATGCACCAAGCCCCTCCCATCGGACACCAAGCCCCCCCCCCAGTCACCAACCCCCCCCCCAGGCACCAGCCCCTCCCACAGATAACAAGACCTCCCATAGGCACCAAGCCCCACCCACAGGCACCAAGCCCCTCCCACAGGCACCAGCAGCCCCTCCCATCACAGGAACCAAGGCCACTCCATGTCAATTCCTGGGGCCATTTCAATTCCATTTCTCTGGAATCAAAAGCTCGTCTCAGTAACAGTGACCATGACAACCATCATCAACTGTTGTAAAAACCCATCTGGTTCACTCATGTCCTTCAGGGACAGAAATCTGCCGTCCTTACCCAGCCTGGTCTACATGTGACTTCAGTCATACAGGAATGTGGTTCACTCTGAACCGTCTCCCTCCAATGGCCTCACAGTCACTCAGGAGAAAGTCTCAACAAATGAATGACAGTGACCCCCCTCCCAGTGATTCCAGTGATCCTGCCGACAGTGACCCACCCAAGTCAGTGATCCACCCAGACAGTGAGCCCCACACCAGGGATCCACCCCCAAATGGTGACTCCCCCCCGCACCTCCCAGGTTCTTACCTGTCTCAGCTCCTGATAGTTGTGGTGTTTGAAATCCAAGTCATCAGAACTTGTCACCTCCTGCTTCCAGTAGAAGAAATTATTTGGATCTGGGGAATGGTTTTAAAAAAAACCTCAGTGGTGAGCGGGAGAGAGACAGAGAAAGACAGTGAATCAGAGAGAGAGAGAGATCGAGACAGTGGAGATAGACAGGGAAATACAGAGAGTCAAGACAGAGGGATCGAGGCGGAGGGAAGGAGAGATAGTGGGACATATATAAACGAGGAACAAGAGTAGGCCACTCAGCCCTTTGGTCTGATCTGCCATTCAATGCGATTATAGCTGACCTGGATTTAACATCAACTCTACTGTCCTGAATATCCTCCAACAACCATACAGCTCGTTAATGTCCTTTAGGGAAGGAAGCTGCCATCCTAACCTGGTCTGGACTACATGTGACTCCAGACCCACAGCAACGTGGTTGACTATTAACTACCCTCTGGGCAATTCAGGCAATAAATGCTGCCTAGCCAGGGATGCCCACATCCTGTGAATGATCTTTTAAAATAAAGTCCCAGCACTGATCCCTGTGGAACCCCACTGGTTCCAGGTCACCAATCTGAAAAAGAACCCCTTATCCCCACTTGCTGTTTCCTACCCATGAGCCAATTCTCTCTCCATGGCAATATGTTACCTCCAACACTGTGGGCAACTTGTGTTATAACTTAACCTTTCATGAGGGACCTTGATGAACACCAATTGGAAATCCAAACACAGCACATCTACTGGTTCTCCTCTATTCACTCTGGTTGAGACTTCCTCAAAAAAACTCCAATAAATTAGTCAGACACAATTTCCTTTTCATGATGAAATGCAGACTCTGCTTGATTAGACTATGATTTTCCAAATGTTCTGCGGTGACCTCCTCAATAATTGATTCCAGTACTTTTCTAACAATAGATGTGGGGCTGATCGGTCTGTAGTTACCCACTTAGTGCCTCCCTTTTTGAGTTGGGTTGTCACATGCAGTTTTCCAAATCCCTGGTACTTCTCAAAAATCTAAGGATTTTGGGAAGAGAGATGGAGAGAGATAGAGGTGGTGAGAGAGAGAGAAAGACAGAGGTGGTGACAGAGAGAGAGAAAGAGAGAGGTGGAGAGAGAGAGAGATGGAGAGAGGGAGAGGTGGAGGGAGAGAAAGAGAGGTGGTGAGAGAGAGAGATGGAGAGAGGGAGAGGTGGAGAGAGAAAGAGGGAGGTGGTGGGAGAGGGTTGATACCTGACAGAGCACAGCCCAGGATCTCTGCTCGGAGACAGATGGTCCCATTTGGAAACCAGCTCTGAGGGTTAATGCGGAAATATCGAGCAACCACAGGAACTGGGAAAATCGTCCCAACCGGAGTGTCCGGATCTGAGTTTCCAGGAAAGACCTACCCGGCAGCAAAATGATGCAGGGTTAATGGAAATGTAACTGGCGCAGAAACTCTGCCTCTCTCCCCTGCAACATTTCCCCTTATCCCAGACACAGGTCTAACCCCCTCCCCTAGACTCCAGCCTGAGCCCCTCCCCTCCCCCAGACTCCACTCTAACCCGCCACTTTCCCCTCCCCCAGACTCCACTCTAACCCCGCACTCTCCCCTCCCCCAGACTCCACTCTAACCTGCTACTTTCCCCTCCCCCAGACTCCACTCTAACCCCGCACTCTCCCCTCCCCCAGACTCCACTCTAACCTGCTACTTTCCCCTCCCCCAGACTCCACTCTAACCCCGCACTCTCCCCTCC